ACAAGATCTTAGTTTTGGTGCTGCTGGAGGAGTGGGTGTTATATGTGGGAGGGAGAGGCATAGAAAAAAGGAATGACATTTACTGAACTTTCTGCTTAGACTCCCTGTAGTTTGGATGTGCCTCCTTAGGGTATTTACAGGGGAGGCCCTTGTGTGATAGGAGAACAAGATCTTGTGCTTAAAGAAAAAATAAAATAAAATCCCCGATCTCCATTTTGTCTAAAACATAAGCTTAGCAATGCAGAGATGCAGAGCAGTCCTTGGAGCCTTCAGAGCTGCCAGGCTGGTCCCCTACAGAGGCTCCGTCGATGAAAGGGCACATATTACATCAGCAGCCTTTAATGCCACATGCTCACTTGCACAGCTCTTCAGTGTGAGACATCATCACCTACTCTGCAGGCAGTGTAATGTCGAAAGCTAAGCCCTTTTGAGAAGGCAGGTGATGGGAGGCTYCACAGGGATTGAACCCTACCTGCTTTTTGCCCTTTATAAATAAGTGGGTGGGTGAAATGAGCCAGGCAGCACTTTAACCAAGCTATTGTTTTTATTCTTAAAATACTGTAGTGAATGAAATAAAAATATTCAGTGTTGCATTTTCCCACTATTAAGTTCCCAAAAGCTAACTGCTGTGAAGAACATAATTCAATATTTAGTTGTCAAGTTTTGGGTTAATGGATTAGGATGCAGAGCTAGTGAAAACCAGCATGTCACATCTGCATCAGTCCCACGAGCCGTAACTATCTTTGAACATCTCCATTGTTTTAGTCACTTCCAATTTTGCTTCCCACTCCATAGGATTTCCCAGGAGGGGGTGATGGGTCAGCAGCAGGCCAAAGATGGGCTTCAGATCTAATCTAATCAATACTGTGGCAAACGTAACGACAGAAGCGATGTCACCTTGGAATCCCASTGTATTTTACCAGCTCTGTTCCTAATGGGATGTGACAACGATGTTGATCTGTGTATCCTTGAGGAGGGAGTGAAGTTGTGCAAGGGCTTGTGCAGGGCTGCCTGTGTGACAAAGGCTAATCCCACTCCATTACGATCAGAGCTAGAGGCCCAAACTAGGGGTCCTTCCCTACACTTCAAGCTAGAAACTGTCTTTTTAATAACTGCCACTTTTAAATAAACCGTTTATGCATTTWTTAGCTCTTCTAACATGTCACATGTATTTAGAAAGATTTTTTTCTTTCCTGTTTCAGTGGGAAGGTTCTGAAATTGCTTTCACCAGTTAGGAAGCAGCAGTCCCTGGCTTTATATTTATTTCAAGCAAAACGCTTTTACTTTGATTATCTCTAATAGCTTTCTTTTTTCCTGAATYGCTCCTTTTTTTGCGGTGATATTATACAACTAGTTCACGTATTCTAAAAGTATGTGACATTTCTGAGATGAAAGTGAGTGACTTTTGCTTTTGTGTTCGATATCTTGTCTTGTAGTCCTGCCGCCTGGTTTCTTCTCCTTACCAGTGGGCCAGTCTTAACTTCCCTGTTGCTCTGTGGCACACAGTGCCTAAGGTTTGTGCTCTTCTGGTTTTGAGGTGACAGCTCTGCTAAAGATTGTTTTTTTTCTGATAACCTTGTTCTCTGTGCTCAGGATTATATCCACTGTGATCAAATCTGACTACTGATATCCTTAAGCTCTAATCATGTTAACTTCTCCATCCGCTAGGTTCATTGGAAAACTTTGAGATTTGACTTACTTTGTCTATTGCCCTTAAAATTCCCCTGTTTGTAAGTGTTCTCCATGTATAGTGCTACTATCTGCACCAGCTTCTTCTCAAGGCATGTGCTCACTCTGTCCTTCTACCTTGACCATCCACCTCAGGAAGAATGGGAATAGTTGTCAAAATATCCCTTGGACTTGTAGACTATAGTTTGGATATTGTGTTAGTTAAGAAGCTGTCGTATCTTTTTCCATGGGGAAATAACCTTTAATAACGTATCTTGTGAAAATTTGCCAGCTTCTTCTCTGCATATTGTATTTTAAAGTGAAATATGTATATATATAATATATATTCTGTCCTTAATCTTGGTTAAGCTGTTTCTCAGTTTAAGTTGTTCCAGTTTTCTGTATGAGGACTTCCACAAATTTTCTTTATACGTAAACAGTAGAGCAAAGCTGTTGTGTACTTTTTCTTAATCCTGCAATTACATGGCTACAGAGCCTTTTTACTCTCCTTAATATGAAACTAAGCCCTCTTCTCACCTGCTCCTTTGCATAATCAATGCACTAAGAATTATGGACATGCCAGCAAAATTCAGCCCTTAAATGCAAGGGTTGGTAGCTGTATGCTGTTGCTGCTCACTGTTTCTCTCTAATAAGCTGTAAGCAGTACAGTATCTTATTAGTTAATTTGAAATACATTTCTCAAGAGATTGCATAGGTTATGTACACCAGGGCCCTACCAATCCACTTAATGCTTAAATTCACCAACCAGAAAAACTCAGGGTGGGTTTGGATCTTACTTACTGCAGCAGAAACAGTAATTTCTCGGTATGATAACATATTTGATCTAGCAGAAGTTATACTGAAATTGTCCCGGAAACTCATGCTTGAAAATAAGAGGTCTCACTTTTTAGCTGTTTTTATTTATAATGTTTCAAAACTTGTTTTTCTTTTTTTTTGATTTTACAGTAAAAAATCTTTAAACTGTTGTTTAAACTAGCCTAGCAAAAGAAGATATTTTAGTGCGATTAAATCCAGTGTTGTTACTGTTCTCTGACTGTTCAATTAATCTGAGAAGGAGGAAAAACAGAAAGAGGGAGGGAGACAGGATGAAATCTGAAACCGGAATACCCAAATTTGGCTCAGCTATCTGAAACTTGATTGTTGACCTTTTGGGGGCTGCCGCCTGAGTTTGGGATGAGCTGATCCCAAAAGGTAGATTCAGAAATCTGAGCTGAGTTTCAGCCGAGCTCAGGGTCTCTCGATGGGCTGCATCACTTCCAAGCTGTCTGTCCTGAACTCATCTCACGTGGTGAATATTCTTTCAAATCAGCGTTCCCGTCTTTTGCAGTAATCTACACTGCCTTCAAAAGCAAAAAACCACCCATGTCCCACAAGAGCACRAAGTACCAGCCTCTGTTTCTGCTCCTCTGCAAGGGCACTGCATAAAGCAGCCAACCTGCACGGAATCAGTTCATTCTGTGTTATCTAATACATACCCCACACACAGCAGCCCGTGGATTGCCGGGCTGCACCACAACCATAACGTTGTTTTCCCGGCGGTTTCCCCAGGCTGGCGCGTTTGGCTCCCCGGGCCCGGCAGCCCTGAGCGGAGCTCGCGCCGAGCGCAGACTCACCCGGCTCTCGAGCACCTCGCGGCCGGGCGCGGGCCCCGCTCCGTGCTGCCCTCAAGGACGTGCCTCACGACGGCCACCAGCCTCGCACGGCTGTGCCGAGGCCAGGGGTGCCGGCTTCCGTGGCGAGCCCGGCCTTTTCCCGTGCAATTATAGCCCCAAAAACCGAAAGTGCTACGGGGGTTGTGCCCGGAGGAAATTCTGACAGCCTCRCTCTTCCACTGCGTAGGAGTCATGTGCTGAGCTTCGGGTGATGACTGGGAACTTCCACTCTGCCGCCGTGTTTGTTGAGTTAGAGCGAAACTGAAGTTGTTTTGCTGTTGGCTCTGTAGGATTATAGGGATCAACATGCCGCTTAGGCTGGTACGCAGGTGCTGTGCAGGAAAGGAAGTAGCTACTGGGCAGGTGGCTGTAATCAACTTCTTGTATCAGTGCTGTTATAATTTCTCTGAAATTCGGTTTTTGATATGGTTTTTCAAATTTTTAGCTTTGGTCATCTRTTTGGCTAAAATATCAAATTGCTATAAATGTGGCTGGGATTATTTTTAATATTTTCTATAGAAAATTAAGAGATAGGAGCACTCTAGAATTAAACTTTATGGACTTTAAAATTTCCAATCAAAGATTCTTTATGCTTTGTTTTATCCAAGTAATATGCACTGTATAACCAAGCACTCCATCAAAGCTCTTTTAAACCAACTAGAAAAGTGCTGGATGGAATCAGGCTGGAAACCTGAATGGGTGTCTCCAGTGATGATATATATATTATATATATATTTCTTTTTCCCCTAAAGTAACAGTATAGAATGTGTCTTTTCTCTRTCCCCATGTATCCACAATGTAAAATATCCCACACAGGGACAAATTGGAAAATAGAAAAAGGCATTTTCTATGTAGATGATGTCARTTAGGAGATAATGAGGAGGGCATTTGTCACAGCTGGGAAGAGGGGGAAGGAGAGGTATTGTTCTTTATTTAAATAAGGGTACATAAATTGAAATAAGGATGCAGAAATAAGGCGATTAGGAAACCTGTGCAATTGCTAATGGAAATGAGGAAGGGGGCACAAAGGTGTTTGCAGGAGGGGCTTCACGTCCCCCTGTGGAAACACCAGCAACACGGAGAGCAGGTTAGAGAGGGAAGGTAAYGAGATAGGGGCACGGCTACGTGCTCGCAGAATACGTGTGGAAGAGGTTGGTTGACTACGTTTCTTCTGATCTGTGGGGCATGGCGTTTAAGGTGAACAAATGGAATGGGTAGGAAGGATGTGTCTTTTACAAGTAACGTGTTTAGATGAGGTTTGGGAAGTGGCTGTTGAAGTGGATGCCAGGCAGCACCTACTGATGTGATGTGATCCCTTACCCAGGGGTTTGTCTGGGCGATGGAAGGAGAGGTGCAGGTTGGGCAGCGGGRCATGTTGAAAGCAGCCACCAGCAACGTGGGCTTTTCCAGTGGACTTTGCCCTGTTCTGTGTCTTTTGCCTGCGAGTCCATATCCACAGCTGGGCTTCAAATGAGCCGAGATTCTTTCTGCACCAGCATACTGAGCCCTTTAATGGCTGGGCCAATTTCTAGTCAACTGTAAGACTGCCTGTAGATTCCTGAGCAAAACAAATCTCTAACTGTAAATTAGATTTTCAGTTCTTTCAAACAGAAAAAGGGAGTTTTGCGTAAGAAGCATAAAATGTAGAGTAATACTTACTTTGCATTTCTTTACAGCAGCATTGCACAGTGGTTCTGCCATCCAGCCTTTCGCAGCGGGTGGACTTCCAGCTATTTCACTCTCTGATTTTTGTCATGGGTCTTGCCTCCTTCCCCTTAAAAGGAGGGGTGCAATGAATTACTATTCAGAACATATGGTTATTTCCACTGAAAATTCATGATGCTATCAGAATAAAATTTGACATGGATAGTTTTAGAAAGGCAAAGGTCGTAAGGAGCAGCAAGTAGCACAAATTCTGGGGTACCAGAGAGGAAGAAAGGCAGAATTTTGAATGCCAGATGCCAGGAGAAGAGGAGTAGGAAAAGAGTTGGAAGGGTTAAAAGAAAATGCAAACCAAAAAGGGCACTGACAGTTGTCCTGGAGGTAACTTTGATTATAATACACTGGAAAGTCCTTAAGAAGCAACATCAAGTATGGTATCAATAATGTTTACATTGCAGAATTAACTGCTGTAAAAATGGCATGCTAAAGAGTATTTCACAAAAGCATTTGGAATTTATTTGGGAATTGTGATGGTAGAAGAATTTTTTTTTTTTTTTGCTTGTGAATTACTATGTCAAGATAAAGAAAGGAACAGCACAGTCATATCTTGTCAGAATGATGAGTAAATCATTAACAATATATACTCAGTGTTGACTAAACTGATTGTTAAAATGTGACATAAAAATAAAAAGCCTGGCAACCATTCTGTTGGCACCTGAGATAAAATGGGCTGAACAGAATCCAASTTCTGAAAACTAGTAATAACCTAAGTTTGAGCTGATTTTAGTAATAATAATTCCCCACAGACCGATCTTGAAACAAGCTCTCTGAACACAAACATGTTTTCAGTAGCATTTGGGTTTTGTTCTTACTGGAAAATCAATGTTGCTACATGACTAAGCCGAACTTTATGTTCTTATTAATATATCTGAGTTTGTGGACACAGAGGTTATAAACACAAGGCATGTAAACTTTCAAGGCATTTTATTTTATTTTTCTCTAAACTATGAGATAAAAAAGTTTTTCTTAAAGTAAGACCTGCCAAAACAGAATAAAAATAATCCTCGATTTACTTCTGTGCAAAGTAATATGTAATTTGTTTGCTTTTTATTGGGAGTACTTTTTTTTTTTAGATGTGTCCTTTGCTGGTTCTAATAACTAATATGTACTAGATTTCTAGAGCTGTAACTTCAGAGGGCCCAAACCTCTTCGACTGTAGCTGCAGACACTGAAAAGGTTAAGGACTGTTTTCAGAAGGTCCTGTTGTGCCTTTGATGTCTCTGTTGTTGTGATACAACTATTCCTTCCTGGTGGTTCTCCTATAAACCATCAGGTGCCAGTGCAACTGTTCGGCGCTTTTGTTTGTGGGATGAAAATACTAAATTATTTTGCTTGGATTATCACTCTGTAAAAGCTGCTTTTCATGAATTACATGTGTTTTGCCGGTGAAATATGTTTGTGTATTTATTTATTTATTTTAGCCCTGAGACCACTTTCATTTCTCTTGGAAACCAGACTAAGAATAACATTTGTTCTTGAAAAATAGTATAATAAAAAAATGTATAAGCATTCTATAATTTTTTTAAACTAGCTGGAATCATGCGCAGTGACTTCTGATAGTGACAGTGACCTCCTAGCAATAAGATATTGAGGACTAAATTTTCACACGCTTGCGACTTGGAGCCTGAATTTTCAAAAGTGATTCAGTGTGAGCAGTGGATTTTGTTTTCTGTTGATGGTTGTTGAACCTCCTAGTTCCAAAAGCCATTAGAACATAGTGCAGTAGTATCATACATTTGTATTTAGATTACATTTTTAGTGAATATGGTTACCTAGAAGCCAGTTGAGTTTATGCACATTCTTTGTAAAGATATATACCAATTTCTCTTCTTAAAACATGAAGTGCTTTAATGGCAGATGTGCCGACTTCTTGATATAGGGTGTTTCTTCTCACTTTATTTACTCATAAGGATGACAAAGTCTGTGGGGTCGCATGTCTGGCCTTTCACCCGAGAATCAGGGAAAGTCTCCTGATGCTGTAGCCTGAGGTGCACGTGCAGTTACTGTGCAGTTAGTCAAGTTTGCCTTGCCCCCCAGCCCTGGCAGGGTGCGAGCTGTCATGGTTGCTGCCTTACGCACTGGCTGTGGTGCTTGGGACACGCACGTGATGCTCTCGTTTCTCCTGCTGCTGCTCGTGGCCACGTGTCACACTTGTGAGCGCTGAATGGGCTCGGTTTCAGCTGAGCTGCCTGTGCCCGTACCGGGCTACGCTGGCTAGGCTGGCTGCGTGTTTGCAATTTACTGCCAACTTCTCCTTTCTGGAAGGAGAACGATTTCCTCTTAGCACAGATGATGAAAGGAACCACTGTTCATATAAGGTGGAAATCCCCTTGGCTCTCACAATTTTATGTAGTGGAACCTACAACAAGTACAAAACCAGTACTTCAGCTTTTGGAGAAGTGGGGAAACTACTGTGGCACTAAAAGATCCTTTTTATTATTATTATTATTATTATTTTATTTTATTTCCTCACACCCCATCCAGCTACTTTGTTGTAGTGACTTATCGGAAAAGCCAAGAGAGCCAACCAGCACACACCGCTGGGTTCGGGGAGTATTTCCACACGGAGCCCAAGATGGCACTTGGGATTGGAAAATAATTACAGTAGTGATATCTCTGTTGAGCCATATTCCATGTTGGCATATTTATGATAGCATAAAAATTAATATCACAGCTATAGTTTTAAAATGCACAAATACTGTTTACTGTTGAGAGCGAGTGGTTATGATTTTTACTATTATCAAAGACCCATACATGCTGCAGGTTTAAAATTAGAAGTGCTACAGTTCCTGAGAAGCTATTAGAGTGCTGTAGAATAAAAGATACGGCTTATCTAGATAGGTTGTCATTAATATTTCTATCTGTGAACACAGAAAGCTGTATTTTTTGGTTGGAAGTGGCTGACTTTGGAAGGAGACACTTTTTTTTTTCCCCTCCCTCTATTTTTGACATATGTGAAGGTTTGATTTGGGTGGTTGGTAATAGATTATGTTTCTGACTATTGATGTTTAGTTTTGACGGAATTTTATTTTTAAGCAACGTCTAGGTCACTTCAACGTATGAAAATGACTTTTTTGTGCATGTGTGTCTGTGTCTCCTTGACCAGTGCTGGTTGGCTACTTGCAATTTATTGACTAGTGTCATTGATTCTGCTGTTAGCAAAAAGAAGCACAARTTCTAGGAAACGAGGAGGGAAAATCTATAGTTTAACAGTTTGTAATTCCAACAAGTTGAGGATTGTGAGCAGTTGGATAGCGAAAGATACCTTGGTTGGCAGGTAGGWAGTTGTCATGGTGTGGTTTTCAGTTAGTCTAATCTGTGGTGTTTTCTAGATACTGGAGACACTTCTTCAATGACTATTACAGACACAATGAGGTGCTACATACAACTTTGCTAGCAGATCCTGATCTGATAAGTACTGTCTTAGAACATGGAGATGTTATGAGATTTTATTTTAATCATTCATTATTTTTATTTTATTTTTTATTTTAGTTTTATTTTAAATCATTCATTTAGTAGTGAAGATTTTGGGGGAATGTTTAAATGTTTAACTTCCTTTGCATTGTTTCTATTTCACATATATTGAGATTAAAATCATGTTCACTTTCAGTTTTGCTTAAAGCAGGAAGAGGGAAGTAGCTTAAAAAAGCAGAATACCATTGCATGATGTCTGCTTTGTGACTTTCCAAGGCTGATCTTTGATTGCCCAATACAACTTGTTATATGTCTTGCTGGGAAACAAATTTTGTGCTCGAAACCACAGTCTGTATTTGAAAGTCACTTCTTTATTTTTGATAATAATGGCAACAGGATGGAAACCAAGTTTTCCAGTTAAGCAATATCAAAAACAGAATAAACCTATGAATGGATCAGGAAAATATACAGACTGTGATAACACCCTCTAAGGGCTTTCCTTTAAAAGGGAGCTCAGTTTTGCCGTGGCTTGCAGGCAAACGCCCACCCGAGGCAGGGAACAGGGCAGCTGTGTGGAGCACAGCGGGAATCCGGGCCGGAACGGGGTTCCTGTGCTGCTTTAGCTGGTGCTGCTCAGCGCCCTGGGCGGCACCGCTTGGAAGCTGGGCAGCAGCCTTGGCACGGCGCCGGGGCCAGAGGCCGGAGAGGGACACAGAGCCCGTGGARCTACCTGCGAGAATCGGAGCTTTAAGCACGGGACAAAGTGTCGCCTTCGTCCGCGCACAAGCAGGAGGGGTTACCTTGGTCCCTCTGGGTTTGCACTCTGAAGTGACCCTGCTCCGGAAACCGGGAGGCTTTGCAAGTCTTTGCTGGAGGTGCCATGCAGCAAAGACRACACAGGAGGTGGTATTTTAACCTTCAGCTTAATCTGTAGCTCTGTTTCATTCAAAAGCCAAACAAATTCATTGATTTTTTTTTTTTTCATGTAATATTAATGGTGTTTTTTGCAGGAAAGAGTTGGCGTAAATTGCCTTYATTAGAATGAGAGTGCTTCTCAGAAAGACACTAAGACAGACACAGGCCTTAGTTCCCCACTGGTAGGGGAGACCACAGCAGTTCCGTGGTCCTTTACAGAGAAAACTAGTGTTTGCTGACCCCATAATAATTGCAGAACATGCAGTAATGCATATRTACGTGAGGGTAGTTTAGATATATACTGGTATTAACAATAGGATAAAAGCACAGCTATGTTAAGCAATAAAACAATATAATCTTGGAAGTGTCTTAAGACATCAGTAGAGATCAAGTCCATTTTCTGAGTCTGCTGTAGATAAACTTGTGAGGTGTGGGGTGTTAGGTAAGTGTGGTCCGTGTCCCCTCTTTGTTTCTGGGCTGGCATTTGCTTGGTTGCAGTAGTACTGTCTTTTTTTTAATGGATCCTTGCAGAAGAGGAATATATATATATATATGTATATATTAATTATAGTTTCATCTTCATCCATATCCTAATAAATATCAGATTTTCTGTGCTTTCAGTACAGTGGAAATGGTGATTTAATTGGCAAGGCTGTGCTGTGTCTTACTGTTTCAGTGTACACAATTCTTTTTGATATCGAATATGGGGGTTTACTTATTTGT